AGGAGCTGTTGGAATGTCTGCTCGACGGTTTTCCGATCTTCGGGGAGATGTAACCCATTCGAGAGTTGTTGAGCCGTAATTCCTCGGGCGGCGGTTTGGGTCAGGCCTAAAATGATGAGGGCGGATAGTGGGCAAAACAGGAAATTGTCCCCATCGTTTATCTCCTTAAGTTGCTGCAAGGATTTGGATATGAGAGTTGATTACCAATTAGGTGTTGACTTACCCTGTAGACATCCGCTGTAAATTGAACACTACCAGTTGCAAATTGTTGAACGAGTGGAGAGTCCTCCGAGGACACCAACTGTATCATACAGAAGGCAACACAAGAAACAAACAGTTTCATTCTGATCCTTGTATCAGATTTCACAAGCACTGTGAGATGACCCACGCCTATATATGGACGGTCATATCAGATTATTGGTTAAAGGTCATAACCTGACATTATTGTTAGAAATGTTTACCAAACACCCGAGATAACTCGTAATCGCTTATTTGGCAATTTTTAGATCACCAACTAATTAGGATTATTAATTTAATAAATTTCGTTTTTGTCCGATATAACATGCGATAGTTTTGAAGCATGAGCATTTTTGCCTAGAAAAGATATCAGTTTCAGGGGATGATTTATTGGGGTTTAACTGCATCTGCATAAGCGAGACAAGTTGGGGTCTAGCGGTCGTTGCTTTTGTGAGTCACTTAATAATTTATATACAGGGTGTCTTATGCAAAATGATTTATATAAAACATTCTTCCTATGGAGGGGCTCACGTAAGGGTGCTATGCAGATTTACACATACCTAACTACCCCTTAAGGGCTAAGCCTTACGGAAACTTAATCTTATAGAACCTTATACTTTTTGTTGCATACCCTTATTCTACATCGGAAAATAATAAATTTTCGTGGGAAACATTTTTTCTCTACATTTTCGGTTTTTTGAAAACAGTCTTCCAAAGGAGCGATTTCAAATAAAGTTACGTATTATATTTCAACTAATTTTCCAAAAATCTGGTCATTGAAGTACAATTGCTGTAGAGATCTTGTCCGTACATTTTTAACTCCCATTTTACTATCTATACTCTGCGTTTTCCCCATGTCCCTTTAAGCATTATGTTAGATGTTAGTGTACCTCTCCGTGCTTTCTCTTGGGCCATTTCTGGACTTCGGGAATCTTGTCTACTTGTCCAGGACTTCCTACGACCCCATTCCTCCTGACAGCTGCCTACTTTTGCCTAGGAATTCTGCACCGCCAAGCGCCGTTTAACTGTCGTCAGGTTCTCACTCAGATGACAACTTGGAGGAGTCTATAAAAGCTGCCTTTTCCAGTACCACCTTTATGCAAAGAGTAGTATAAGTATTCTTGCCTTTAGGCATAGAGTAAATTCTATGCTTTAGGTGTGTAGTTTCCAAAAATTGTAGGTTTCCAACCACCTCCTTGAACTCTTAAGGGCCTGGTTGTTCTCGCACGAGATGATTCGGAATTTGGTCACTGGTGAGGTTGGGTTAGAGTATACTAGTTAGGTTAGCTCAAAAATCTTGTATCAGGAGAATATAATGTGCGAGGAGATTAAGGTTAGGAAACATTTTTCCCGTAAAATTTTGGTGCAGTCGATTTTTGGTAAAAATGGAAGGTAATAACTGCCTTTCTTTGAGCCCCGAAAAAAAAAAATTGTCCCAGATCGATCCGGAAAAAAATTTTCTTATAGAATGTGGCCTGTAGAATTCATAATTTCAAATAGTTCCAAGATTGGGCTACTAGTTCAAAAGTTACAGCCCTTTGAATTTTTTTTCGAAATTGGTTTCTAGTCAACAATTTTTGATTGAGAGGTCTAATCGAAAAAGTACGAATTGTTTTGGATTCTACGCACCAAAATTAATAAGAAAAAGTGTTTTCCCGAGAAATTTTGGTGTAGTCGATTTTTGGTAAAAAAAAAGGAAGGTTATACACTGCCTTTTTTTGAGCCCCGAAAAAAAAATTGTCTCAGATCGACCCGGAAAAAAAATTTTCTTATAGAATGTGGCCTGTAGAATCCATTATTTCAAACAGTTCCAAGATTGGGCTACTAGTTCAAAAGTTACAGCCCTTTGAATTTTTTTTCGAAATTGGTTTCTAGTCTATAACTTTTGATTGAGAAGTCTAATCGAAGAAGTACGAATTGTTTTGGATTCTGCGCACCAAAATTAATAAGAAAAAGTGTTTTCCCGAGAAATTTTGGTGCAGTCGATTTTTGGTAAAAAAAGGAAGGCTATACACTGCCTTTTTTTGAGCCCCGAAAAAAAAATTGTCTCAGACCGATCCGGAAAAAAAATTTTCTTATAGAATGGGGCCTGTAGAATCCATAATTTCAAACAGTTCCAAGATTGGGCTACTAGTTCAAAAGTTACAGCCCTTTGAATTTTTTTTCGAAATTGTTTTCTAGTCTATAACTTTTGATTGAGAAGTCTAATCGAAAAAGTACGAATTGTTTTGGATTCTACGCACCAAAATTAATAAGAAGAAGTGCTTTCCCCAGAAATTTTGGTGCAGTCGATTTTTGGTAAAAAAGGAAGGTAATTACACTGCCTTTTTTTGAACCTGAAAAAAAAATTGTCTCAGATCGATCCGGAAAAAAATTTTCTTATAGAATGTGATCCAGGAGGTTATAATGTGCGAGGAGGTGTTTCAGCTCTTGATACACGAGGGGACAGTCAGAAAATTCTTTTAAAATTTTATCTGGCTACCAGGAAAACATAGCAGTGGAGGAGGTCTTTTCCCAACACCCACAAAAATATTTCAAAGCCAAATTACGCTTTAAATATTTGCCAATTTGGTATCAGGAGGTTATAATGTGCGAGGAGGTGTTTAAGACTCTAATACACGAGGGGACATTCAGAAAATTCTTTTAAAATTTTGTCTGGCTATCAGGAGTACATAACAGTCGAGGAGGTCTTTTTCCATCACCCACAAAATTACTTCGAAGCCAAATTTCGTTTTAAATCTTTTCCAAGTTGATATCAGGAGGTTATAATGTGCGAGGAGGTGTTTCAGCTCCTAATACACGAAGTGCCAATCAAAAAATTATTGCAAAATTTTGTTTGGCTACCAGGAGAACATAATAGTCGAGGAGGTCTTTTCCCATCACCCACAAAAATATTTCAAAGCCAAATTACGCTTTAAATATTTTCCAATTTGGTATCAGGAGGTTATAATGTTCGAGGAGGTGTTTAAGACTCTAATACACGAGGGGACATTCAGAAAATTCTTTTAAAATTTTGTCTGGCTATCAGGAGAACATAATAGTCGAGGAGGTCTTTTTCCATCACCCACAAAATTATTTCGAAGCCAAATTTCGTTTTAAATCTTTTCCAAGTTGATATCAGGAGGTTATAATGTGCGAGGAGGTGTTTCAGCTCCTAATACAAGAAGTGCCAATCAGAAAATTATTGTAAAATTTTTTCTGGCTGCCAGGAGAACATAATAGTCGGGGAGGTCTTTTCCCATCACCCACAAAAATATTTCGAAGCCAAATTTCTTTTTAAATCTTTTCCAAATTGGTATCTGGAGGTTATAATGTGCGAGGAAGTGTTTCAGCTCCTAATACACGAAGTGCCAATCTGAAAATTATTGTAAAATTTTGTCTAGCTACCAGGAGAACATAATACTCGAGGAGGTCTTTTCCGGTCACCCACAAAAATATCTCGAAGCCAAATTTCGTTTTAAATCTTTTCCAATTTGGTATCAGGAGGTTATAATGAGCGAGGAGATGTTTTAGCTCCTAATACACGAGAGGACAATCAGAAAATTCAATTAAAATTTTGTCTGGCTACCAGGAGAACATAATAGTCGAGGAGGTCTTTTCCCATCCCTCGGGCCTACTCTGTGCAGAGCGGGAACCAGGAAATCAATAACGGCCTCCGAATTCACAGGGACTAAGCAATCTTGGGATACGAGCGTCCGCGGCCAGGGGATTGGCATGCGCAGCCAGACCCGCCAGCCTCGTGATGGAACGGGCAAGCGACGTCACCGGTGACTTACGCCTATTGGACTAGAAGTAACGTCGTGGCAATTTTCAACTTTCACGTTTTTTTTTTCTGCGAAAATCACGGCCGCAGCGTGAAAATGACTTGATGTAGAGGATGGCTCGCTTAATTTCTTTCTTCGCGTGATCCCGTGTGGCTAGGCACCCATCGATACCTATATTGTCTCTACACTGCCATGCGCAAGGCAACCTACAGGAAGTAGCTACGAAAGGCGCAGCGATTCGCCTGTCTGGGGGTCACTGGGAGTCACTGGAGTCTTTGGTCATGGAAGCACTTTTGGGACTAGAGCTTTTACACTTATCTGTGGAGGCAGAGGCTAGGAAGATCACCGGTGTCCTTACGGGACACTGGATGGTCAACTATCACCTGCATAACATTGGGCTCGCGGAGGAGTCCACGTGCAGGTTCTGTGGCGAGGCAGATGAAACTACCGAGCATGTGGTCTGTCACTGTGACGCTTTGATCAGGGACAGATATCAACTCCTTGGAGTTATCTGGAGCCGGGGAGGGTGAACCAACTTAGGCTAAACAGGGTCATATCCTTCATTGAGAGGAACGGGCTCTGAACTCAGTTGCGAAAGAAAGGGGGTCGGCACAATGAACCGATTAGCTCAAACTCTTCGCGAGAACGACTGGCGCTGATTTGCACTGGGTGACGCCGTTTCACGAATGCTCCCTTTCACTAATTTCACTCATATTTATACGTACCGCATTTTATGTGTCGATCTCCTTACAACGCCGGATCGTTTAACAACCCCGCTCTACCTAAGTGAAAATTTCTTAAAAAATTACGTAACCTTAGACCAGAAGGAGATTTATATTTAAAGTGCAGTTGGAGGGTTCGTTATATATTATTTAAACGTAATTATGTGATATAAGGCCGCGTTGTTACATTGCTCATTAAATTAAGAAGGAAGTTAATGGCTACATGCATATTTTAGAGTGACACAATTTGCTTCTACGCGGCGCGGTTTCAACCTAAGCAGTAAAATACGTACTTCTCATACAATTACCCTCTTATAGTATGCCGCAGGAATATTATTTCTCACCCGTAAGAAAGTACTCGAAACTATCAGGGTTGTTCCTTAACAAAGATGTTAGCAAATATGAGAGCATGATTTCCGTTGCTATTATGTGCTATTTCTACATTTTTGTCGTTTGCAAAATCCTTGTATTCTTTGAAGATGTCGGCGTGTCTAACAATATGCAAGATATCGTAGTATTCTTCGTCTTTACTAACGGTAAGGTCTCGCCCTTTTATTGATGTTCAGTCCGATGATGGTCAATACTTTTTCCAGTAATCCCACATTCCACAATAATTAGACTTAAACGACTGGATTTGGTAGAATTGATGAGAATGGCTGAGGAGATCTACGTTTGCGAGAGCGATGCCCTAAATGCCTTTTACGAAAAAATGAACAAACAGGCGGCTCTTGTGGTAAAAATGTCATTAGTAATATGCTTAACCAAAAATGTACTCTTTCAGCAAAAGTTGGTGTGTCCTTTTGGAATCGGTGTTGTCGTACTAGCGTTTCTCATGTGGTTTGTGACTGGAAATGAAGATCCATTACCGTTTGGACTAATGCCTTCCTGGGCGATGAGCTACAGTCTTATAGGTTGCGCCTTCTGGGAAGTTCTTACCTCTCTTTTTTTATCACACGAGTACACGATATGCATGGGAATAAAACTATGCGTTTTAGTACATCTGTATGAGCACTTCACACATTTGAAAGCCGAAATTCAGAGTCTCGACGAAGACTGTCGAGAAAGGCGCTCTGATTCGCATTATCTCCAGAACCGACTAGCAAGCATATCAAGGTATCACGCCTCCATTCGGGCCCTCGCTCAGAAGGCAGACGCCACCTTTAATTTATGCCTTCTATCCATTTACCTGAACTGGTCAATTTTCATATGCACTTGTTTGCTTCGTATCGGCTACGTGAGAGCAGACAACGCCCCCACAGCTCAAATTTAACCCAACTCTTCCAGATTCAGCTGTTCAGCGGCGAATTCTGGTATTTGGTTATCTACTTAAGTGCGGGATGCTCCCTGCTCTTCGGGGACTGCTTCTCCACGCAGAGGGTGATAAACGAAAGCGAAACCGTTGGAGACGCTTGCTACCAAATCGATTCCGTCGGATGCGACTTGCAGTTCCAAAAGTCTCTGACGATGGTCATTAAAGAAGGACAAGAGCCCGTTGTCTTTACCATTGAGAAATTCGGAAATTTCTCTGTTGGGTCCATACAGATTGTAAGTAATGGCGCACGGGTCTGTAAGGATGACATGATCTAGCTTTTTTGCAGATTTTAAAAGCGTCGTTCTCCTACTATACTTTCTTGAGGAGTTTCAGCTGAACGAAGAGCGCATCATGGAAGTGATCTTCATTGTACTGCACGTAGGCTAAATAATTAATGTTAGATATAACACAAATGCAATCAAAAAGCTCGTTTCACTACCACCTTCTTAAAAACCATAATTATGCCCTATCATGACAAGTCCAAATCCTGTTCATTCACATCGTACCATTTGGTTTAATTTTTTGATTAAACAAACGGTTTCAAAGGTCTCTTGTACCGTGTAAAGAGCATGTTTCCCCATGTATCCTTATTATATGTGTAGGTAAATATTATGAATTTACAAAATAATTGAAGATCAATTTTTATTTACACAAAAATTGGTTTGGTTTACTCCGAGAGCAAAATTCAAGGCAAAATCACTGTATACTGTAGACAATGTACACTAGTATTTTCTAAAACTCTCTAGAAATTTTTAGAATTTTTTTAGAACTTTCTAGAATTTTGTTTAGAACTTTTGTAGAATTTTTCCCCAAACACACATGCATGCATACATTATTTTATACAACTTTTAAAATTTTGTAGAATTTTTTTAGAATCTGTTAAAATTTAAGTATACAAAGTGAAGTTATTTACCCCTCAGCAAAAGGGAAAGGTAAAACTGAGTAACACTAAGTTTGGCATATTAAATTTTTTTTGGCAATTTTTGGGACCTTAAGTTCGAAAATTTCCCTCTCAATTTTCTCATTCTCCATTGTAGGTCAAACCGATTTTTTTATGTTTTGAGAATTGTAATATTTGATTATTAAGTTAAACTTTTCGTAGCCAGTCTTTTTTTGAAACAGTCAAACAGTCAAATTTTGGTCAATTTTTGGGCTGTCAGAGACTATATTGTTTTGCGGATTTTGGCTGGTGTGGGAGGTATGGAATACCCCCCTGTAAACAAATATCTTATCTTATCTTATGACTAAAAAAATTTATTACTAAAACGGCCACGAGAAAAACTTGGAAATTATTTTTAAGTTTTTGCAATGGCCGCTAGGTGGCGTAACTGCAAACTGGAATCTAAAAAAGTGATTTTTCTGTGAATACCGCTATATTAACCTACAAAAAAATGCCCGGTCTTTGAAGTTGACGATAATCTGAACAATTCTTGTTTGACAATTTTTCGTGTATCTCTAAAAATGAAGTGGTGGGAGGTATTCAAAGGTTTCCGTAAAGAACACCCTGTATCTTCGTAACGACTGAGCCGATTTTAACAAACTCGGGTTAGTTCAAAAGAGCTATTCTTCAGCTACAAATATGATACTATTTGAAGTTTTGTTAGTTTGACATATCACCGCTTGAGGGCTTTTATCGACGTTCCGACAGAAATGGTTAATTTTCTCAAAAAAATTAAACGCATTGGTGTGATTTTTTTTTAATGAAAATTATCCTGTTTATGATCGGTAACGGGTAGGCATCTGAACTGATTTGGACTAATGCCTTCCTGGGCGATGAGCCACAGCCTTACAGGTTGTGCTATCTGGCAACTACTTAGCCAACTTCTATTAGCACACGAGTACACGACAATTATGAGTATAAAACTATGCATTTTAGTACATCTCCATGAGCACTTCGCAAATTTGAAAGTCGAAATTCAGATCCTCGGTGAAGACTGTCGAGAAAGACACTCAGACTCAGATTATCTCCTGAATCGACTAGCAAACATATCACGCCTCCATTAGAGCCCTCGCTCAGAAGGCGGACGCCACCTTTAATTTATGCCTTCTGACCATATACCTGCATTGGTCAATTTTCATATGCACTTGTTTGCTTCGTATCGGCTACGTGAGAGCAGACAACGCCCCCACAGCTCAAATTTAACCCAACTCTTCCAGATTCAGCTGTTCAGCGGCGAATTCTGGTATTTGGTTATCTACTTAAGTGCGGGATGCTCCCTGCTCTTCGGGGACTGCTTTTCCACGCAGAGGGTGATAAACGAAAGCGAAACCGTTGGAGACGCTTGCTACCAAATCGATTCCGTCGGATGCGACTTGCAGTTCCAAAAGTCTCTGACGATGGTCATTAAAGAAGGACAAGAGCCCGTTGTCTTTACCATTGAGAAATTCGGAAATTTCTCTGTTGGGTCCATACAGATTGTAAGTAATGGCGCACGGGTCTGTAAGGATGACATGATCTAGCTTTTTTGCAGATTTTAAAAGCGTCGTTCTCCTACTATACTTTCTTGAGGAGTTTCAGCTAAACGAAGCGCGCATCATGGAAGTGATCTTCATTGTACTGCACGTAGGCTAGATAAATGGTCATTATCTTTAACCATATGTTAGATATAGCACAAATGCAATCAAAAAGCTCGTTTCACTACCCCCTTCTTAAAAACCATAATTATGCCCTATCATGACAAGTCCAAATCTTGTTCATTCACGTCGTACCATTTGGTTTAATTTTTTGATTAAACAAAGGTCTCTTGTACCGTGTAAAGAGCATGTTTCCCCATGTATCTTTATTATATGTGTAAATATTATGAATTCACAAAATAATTGAATATCACGGCGGCGGTCGTCGGCACGTGACGATAAACTCGGGCGCTACCAGAAGACCCTGCTTCTGGCCAAGGTTTGTCGATTCCAGGAAGGCCCAGATACCCAGACTCAGACTGCGAAAAAGGCGGTTGGAAGCCCCAGGTGATCGGACGGAGAAAACGGACAAATAATTATTTCATCAACTAAAGCTACGGGCAGGAAAACAACGGAAAGCAAAACTCCTGTAATTAACGTAAGAAAAACGTAAACTTTTCAAACATCTACAGAAACGCACATCTGATTACCTACGGTTAATTATATCTACCTACTTGCCCAGATCGAAACCTTCAAGTTCATAATTTTAATTGACACCACTAATGTCCCTTGGAATTTCGAATTAACCGCAAAGGTCTCTTTATCAGGTTGATAACCACGTAAGTGCGGCTTTCAATTATAATACTGAATTTGACTAACATCATCGCATAATTAACTACCGGAGCTGAATTCCTAAAATATTAAGTTTTCTCCTGCTTCTCCAAACCGAGAGCTGTCAGATGCGATAAAAGTCTACAAAAAGAATTACAACTTCACATTAAATTACCATCGGCAGCTAGGGTTTCCCGTATCAGTGGTTAAAACAGCTCCACAAATGAAAACATCACTTTTGCGTTTTTACTCCTAGAAGAAATTAATAGATCAATCTGGCAGATACGGTTTCTAGTAACGAAGCGCGCTTCTGAATTTGTCCAAGTACCAAGTGTTCATTTAAGCTGGTAGATTCCATTGTACGGTGTGTTCAATAACGTTGGTATAATGTATTCCTTCTACGAAAACGGCTGCTTCGTTACATACCCCCCTGCAGGAAGATCTAAAACATCAGTCACGGAAACAACGCTGCTATGAAAATTACGTGGTAAGATGATTTATTCAATTGGAATCTTTTGGGATTAATTTTTAAGGCGACCCAACGGAGGCGGCTGAAACATTCTCTCGAGCTTCGTAGATTTTTCATCCCCTTGAAAAAGAGGTGTTTTTTTCAGAAATCGTGAGATCTTGGAAACGGTTCAACTTTATGGGCCCAAACAATTATCTTCTGTTTTATCATAAAAAAGGCTATGTTACCTCCAAATTTCAAACCCCTACGGCATTTTTTCGCAAAAATAAGAATAAAGAACAAAAAAACAGTTTTTCCGGTTTTTCTAGGAAAATTGGAGGTTATGAAATAGTGTGGACACAAAAGTTGCTCATTTTTTAAATCTCTATAACTTTTACATTTAAACATTTTCGTCTAAAATCAATAGTTTTGCCACAATTTGCAAAATACCACTTTCCACCCCTTTCAACCCCCGTGATTTCACCCGCGGAAAAATTCAGCTGTTTTAATTATTTTTTCCCAATTTCTATTCATTCCACCTGCCTGAAAAACCCGGTAACTAATTTTTTTCATACAAAAATATTATATAGGCTGGACTATTAAGATCTAATTTAATTTATTAATGCACTAGCTGACCCGACGGACGTTGTCCTCTTTCCTAGCTATACCTACCTAATCAATTTGCACTGGAATAAATAATAATAAAAAATTATTTCAAGAAATTGCGCCTGTGCATGCGCGATTCTGCCTTTTTATGTCTAAGAATATGTGTACCAAATTTGGTTTCAATCGGTTCAACCGTTTAGCCGGAAAAGAGATTGACACACTTGCCCCAAAATCTCCCCATCTCTCCCCAGAATAATAAAAAATAAAGGCACTCACTTCTACGTTGCTTTTGGCGATTCAGAGCTAGCAACTTACCTTTTTTTTCTGCACCAAATGCCGTAATTTGAAAGCAATTGTTGTATTTCTGGATATGATTAAAAAAATGTATAGAATCTGGCCCATTTCCAGAAACCAAGGAATGCCCTGGTGGCGGTACCAATGGCGTAAATTTCGCTTGGCCACTGGCGCAACATAATCCCGGGGCTTCAGTTTTAAACTTAAAAGCCTTGCAATGTGGACACACAATGTTCATTGGTCTAATAGCAACGATTTACTGTAAACTGTAATCGATTGTTACGTTGTAATTAAATTTAGCTCGATAGGGATTAAAGGGGACATTTCTGCTCGTCAGTTGCACTTATTCGTATAATTATACCGGGTGGTGCACGGTAGGTAGGAACAGGGATTTAACATGGGAAATTAGTTTTATGCAATATCCTGCCCTCCTGTACTTTTTACAGAAAAAACTGTAGAGTTTAAAGTTGTTCAGAATTAAAAGGTGCATACAAAACTGTTTTTACATATTTCATTAAGCTTTTGATATACCCGCAAATTTAAAAATAAGTTTCAACATTTCTGTTATTAGTAGCAATAGCCATGACTTTTGTTGTTTTATGAAAATATTAATAACAGAAATGTTGAAATTTATTTTTAAATTTGCGGGTATACCAAAAGCTTAATAAAACATGTAAAAACAGTTTTGTATGCATCTTTTAATTCTGAACAACTTTAAACTCTACAGTTTTTTCTGTAAAATGTATGTACAGGAGGGCAGGATATTGCATAAAACTAATTTCCCATGTTCAATCCCTATGTTCCTACTTACCGTGCACCATCCGGTATGTTTGACTTGTAGGATTACGAATTCTGCGACCTAAGTTGGTACCATGTTGATTGTTGGTACGTCTAAATAGTAGCATCTACAAAAAACTAAAATTCAACTGAAAATAGAAATTAACTACCTACTGTTTCTGTATAACTATGTATACCACGTGTTTAGTCTATCAACACTTACCAAAAATGGATATTAGGTATATCAAACTTTTAATATAAAAGGCGCGATTGCGGTGAAATAACATCGACATTTCTCAAAAAAACTGACGGATATATGCCGATCGATGTAGCTGTTAAAACAATTGCTGCCGCACCGTCAAACGCGCGATGTTTAAATATTCGTTAAGTTTTCTCCAATTTTCCAATTTTCTGCGCGATTTTCTTAGTTTTTCTTGCCGTAAGAACCTTCTACGCAGTATTAGAAAACTTAAAAAAAAAAGATGAATGAAGTCGGTAAAGTCGTTCTAAAGTTATTGCGTGACCAGAAGAAACAGGGGTTCATTTTTATATATAGAGATTTAGGGGGTCGTGAAAAAAGTCGATATCATTCACTGAGGAGATCTTATTTAAAGTGATCTTAATAAGTGGGGAAGTTGTGATCAGTGTGATGTTGCCCTGCATGAGTGTACTAACCATTTACACCGTAGAAGAAGTACCTCATACAGTTTCAATTTTTCGCTGTATTTCTTTCATCCTCTCTCGTTCGTGCATTTGGCTCCATTTGCTTATTTTCACTATACAACTTGAGATATCTGATTTGTGTCTTTCTCCTTTGCATTTTGTTTTCGTAGTTGATTTATTTCTTCTATTTGTGAGCGTTATGTCCACAAATGATTTCTTATAGGGTAAGTTTGAATTGCAGTGTCGAGTCCGGGACCTTTAAAATGATCACAGTATGCTTTACTCGCGCCGGCGCCCTACTAAAAGTAGGGCGTGATTTTGTTGGGAGGAAGTAAAAATACGTCTTTATACTATGGGATTTATTAGTAAAAAATTAATGCTTTGAGCTGAATCATTTTGTTGTCTTCTCGCAAATTCCGTCGACAAATTAAATAATAATTAATAATCTAAACACCCTTTCCCTTTTGTAACCGTTGCAATGTGTAGTATATGCCCTTTTGTTGCAGTAGCTCTGCATGCGTGCCCATTTCGCAGACTCTCCCTTGATCTATTACGCAGATCACGTCGGCGTCTTGAATCGTACTGAGCCGATGCGCAATTATTATGCAGGTCCTACCCTTTCGTGCGGAATCCAGAGCCTCTTGAACGACCTGAAATGCGTTGTCAGTTAAAGCTCGACGTGGACGCGCTCACCTTTTCACTTTCGCTGTCGAGCGCAGAGGTGGCCTCGTCCAAGAGTAGAACCTTTGGTTTCCGGACGAGGGCGCGCGCGATGGCGATGCGTTGCTTTTGGCCGCCGGACAACTGAGTTCCGCGCTCGCCCAATCTGGTGGAGTACCCCAATGGTAAGCTGGTGATGAAGTTGTGAATATTGGCGTTTTTAGCAGCCTCGATAATTTCCGCTTCGGGAACTACCCGACTATTGTCACCGTACGCGATGTTCTCCCTTATCGTCTTATCGAACAGGTTTGGCTCTTGTGAAACCACGCCCAGCTGCGATCTCAAGCAGCTCAGCTTCATTTCCTTGATGTCATCGTCATCAACTGACACATTACCATGAAGCGGATCGTAGTATCGCTCCAGCAGTTGGAGAACTGTGGATTTGCCGCATCCGCTCGGGCCGACCAAGGCGACCGTCTTTCCTGCGACAATGGAAAGGTCGAAACCTCTCAAGACGCGAACTGCTGACCTAGTGGGGTAGGAAAATGCGATGCGCGAATAGTTTATGTTGCCTGGGTTCTAAAAGTGAAATGTAAATAGGAGGAAATATGTTGTGAGTTGACGTACCCAATCTGGGGCGCTTGCATTGGGGGCATCAATCACCTTGGGCACCCGATTGACAAAGTTAAATATTTTTCCTGCGGCTGTAATGCCCCTTTGGAAGTTTGGTGTAAATGCCAAGGCATTCGCAATTGATACGGTTCCCATGATTAAAGCTTGCGATACTCTAAAACAAAACGTGGAGGTTCTGCAGAAGCTGACAGTACTACTCACTTAAAAACATTCTCAAACGGCATTCCTTCGTCTACAATAAGTGTGCCTCCGTAGTACATGCAAACGGAGTAGGCAAAGAACATGATGCTACGCGCTAAGCCGAGCACAATAGCTCTAACGTGGGTGTTGCGAAGCGCGTTCCGGTACTGGGGCATCAGTTCGTTGCAGTATTTGTTATAGAAAATGTCTTCGGCGTTCAACGAGGCTACGGTGCGTAAGTTAGCAACAGCTTCCACTGCAATCATTGTGGATCTTTCGAGAGTTTTGTGACGGTTCTCATTTTCTGTCTTGACGAAACGTCCTTCGAAAAAAATGGCGAGGAGTATAAATGGTGTAAACGTGAGCGCGACAAGCCCCAATCTCCATTCAAAGTACATAGACACTCCTACGGAGATTCCCAAGGTCGATACCGATTGAAAGATTGTCCCGATACGTTGACCGGTTGCCTGAAACACTGGGCGTGCAACATCGCGACAAGTTTGCGGTTACCTACCCCTTGCACGTTGGCGGCCTCCCCCGACAACTTGGCGCAAAGCGTTCCCACGCCGTTCTCCGTGTCATCAAACCAACCCATCTCCTGCCTCAGCATCGCCCCGAACATCATCTGCCTCAACCTCATCGTCAACTTCTCGCCGGCAACCCCAAACATGTAAATCTAAAAGAAAAATTAGCTCGACAAAGGAAAGGAAAGGACGATGGCTCACCTGCAGCATCGTAGCAATTCCGGTTATGGTACCAGTAACCACGAACATGATTACGTATTTATTACTTTCCATTAAAATGTCATCGTCGTTCGGTAGAGCCAGCACCTGCAAGTACCAGTGAGCACGCCTAGTGACTGCACTAAGTCGACTTACACCAAGAATGTCGCCGAAAAGTATCGAAAAAACTGGCATGGTCGCGCCCATAATCAACGACGTAATGCAACCCAGGGCGATGTTCCAACCTTCTGGCCTGTTCACCTTCAGTATCGCCATAAGGGATGTTGTGTTACTTTCCTCGACTGGTATCATGTCCTCCATCTAGAACCTTTTTGATTATCTGCCGAAGTTAACTAGAGAGTGCTTACCAGTATGCTGCCTTTCATTGAAGATGCTCTTCTATCATCGAAAGTGGTGATGGGATCGTCATCATCCTCATCTGTAATACGAGACGCGTAAGGTGTCTGCGAGGACGACGAGTAACGTAGTTTTAAGAAAATATATTTTGAGTTATCAAGTACGTGAGAGAGTGTCAAGAAATAAGTTGTCAATTTTTGTGATACAATAAAAACGCTAGAAAAAGAAAGTTCCTTTAAATACCATAAAAGACTACCGATTATTAAGGGTTTGGTTAGGGATCATTACAGAAGTTATAGGGCTGAAAACACGTTAGTTTTAAAATAGAAATTCAGGGCAGTTACACATTAGTCTGATACCTCTGCCACAATAATAAATAAACATTTGGTGCCGAAACCCGGGAATTAACGATTTTAGCCATAAGACCTCAGGATTCATCGAGAACCAGACCTTTTGGAAAGTCACCAGTCAAGATGGCCGACAAAAGGAAAGTTATTGCGCCTAACAAGCTAACGTATTGTAACGGAAACGCTCCAGACATGACGTCACCTTTGGCGCTCTGGAATTTTCTACGCGCGCGATAGTGGGATTTGTGTAGGAATATTTGAGACTGTACGCGAATGTTCCTGGACTTACATTGCTTGCGTGTATAAATGGTTGCGGACCGAACATCGCAGCAGTTTTACTACCGAACGAGATCGAGTGCGGAAATATAAATTGCGAAGTGTGTGATATAAATTGTACGATTTTTATAGTGTTTTAGTTTTGTTTAATAAATATTGATATAAATCGAACCCGAATTTATAAATCACGTTACATTGGTGTCAGGAGTGGGATTAATTAAATTAATTAAAAGTAAGATTAAATTAAGTGCTTGTGCTTGTGTATGCCTGTAACAAGATCTGCTGCCGCTAAAATGGAAGAAACGATGCTCGAGTTGCTCCAGCAAATCCAAAATGGCCAACAGGTGTTGCAACAAGAAATGAAAAGCAACCAAGAGAAGATGGAAGAAAATGCTAGAAATTTTGAAGAGAAGATGGAAGAAAATTCTAGAAATTTTGAAGAGAAGTTCGAGAAAATGGAAGAAAATTCTAGAAAGATTAATAAAGAAAATTCTAGAAATATTCAAGAGAAGTTCGAGAAGATTGAGGAAAATTCTAGAAAAATGGACGAGAAGTTCGAGAAGATGGAGGAAAATTCTAGAAAGATTATTGAAGAAGTCTCTAAATCAATTGAAGAAAAAGTTGAAGATAGAATTACGGAAGTTTCCAAAACATTTAAAGCAACATTCGTTGAGATTGAGCACAAGTATGAAGAGCTGCGCGAGCAATTCTTGCGACTGACTACGGAAAAGCGTACTAGTAGTGCCCCAGATGAATTACTGATGGACCGTCTTCTTGAGGTGCCACAGCCTACTCATTACAAGAAGGTCAACCCAGAAACAAATACAAGAGTAGAAGGCGACGTTCAGCAAGCCCGAGTAAAGCCACCTACTTTTGATGGTAAGATTCCTTGGACCACGTACGTTCGACAGTTTGAAGCGGCGGCTGCGGCAAATAAATGGACTCTTCAAGACAAAACTACAGCCCTGATTCTTGCTCTGAGAGGAGATGCTCTGGATGTGTTGCGGACCATCCCCGAGGATCAACAGAACTTCCAACAAATAGTAGCGCGACTCGAAATGCGATATGGAGATAAACACCTTCAGCAAGTTTACTATGTCCAAGTCAAGAACCGAATGCAGAAACCTGGAGAAAGTTTGCAGGAACTTGAAGCGGACATCGCTAGACTGATTCGATTAGCATACCCTACGGCACCGGAGAGCTTTCTTGATCAACTGGCTGTACAAACATTTATCGATGCCGTTCGTGATGGAGATGCCCAGCAGGCTTTGAGACTGGCTAGGCACGACAAAATTGAGAAAGCTTTGGCCCATGCGTTAGAATTCGAAGCCGCCAAGAAAGCTAGTCATGGAAGTGCGCGAGTACGTATGGTGGAACCTCGCAGTGAGAGCCGGGTAAGAACCATCGAAGAGGAAGGTGGCTCTAAAAGTTTTGAAGAAAAGGTCAGTAAAGTAGTGGAAGAAAAGAAAGCAATACAGTCACTGGCAAAGAAACGTGAACCACGGCGAGATTGGACACGTTCGCCGCAACTGCCAAAAACCATCGCAGCAATCGGAAAACTAAGAAAGGTCGACAGGAAAGGGCTATCGTCAACCTGCAGAAACAAAGCCCCGATCTTCACTGTAATCATTACGTCGTCTGGAAAAGTTCACAATAATGCAGACGCTTTGTCAAGAAGACATTGTTCTAAAATAGAAGACAAGATTGGCCATCTGCGACGAACAACTGTAGAGAGTGAGGAATGGAAGCCAAGCGAAATCAAAACGGCCCAAGAGAACGACCCAAGTATAAAATCTGTTCTGAATTGGATGCGCCACGGACAAAGACCAGACTGGCAAGACATTAGTGCCACAAGTCCTGAAGTAAAGAGTTATTGGGGCCAATGGAATAGCCTGACTCTGAAAGACAACCTGTTGTATAGGACCCTTGAAAGTGAAGATGGCACCGAATCGACGCTGCAATTAGTAGTACCTAGAAGCAAAGTGTCGGAAGTATTGCGAAAATTGCATGACGGCGCTTCCGGAGGACACTTTGGTATTACGAAAACGTTGCAAAGGGTACGTGAGCGATTCTATTGGGTCAACCGTAAAGAAGATGTCCGGCGATGGTGTCGAAAAATGTGAGTTATGTGCTACTGGAAACGGACCAGTTTCCAAGAAGAAGGCACCCATGAGGCAGTATAACGTTGGTAGTCCGATGGAACGAGTTGCTATCGATATCGCAGGACCGTTTCCCGAGACAGATGGCGGAAATAAATATATCCTAGTGGCTATGGATTATTTCACAAAGTGGACTGAAGCTTACGCTATTCCAAACCAAGAGGCAGCAACAGTTGCAGAAGTGTTGGTACAGGAGTTCTTTACACGTTTTGGTGTTCCTATAGAAATCCATTCAGATCAAGGAAGGAACTTTGAATCGGCTTTGTTCCAAGATGTTTGTCGATTTGTAGGAGCCAATAAAACAAGAACAACACCTTTGCATCCTCAGTCAGATGGAATGGTTGAGAGAATGAATCGAACGATGGGTAAATATCTTTCAAAAGTCGTGGCAGAACATCAGAAAAATTGGGACCAGTACCTCCACCTGTTCCTTATGGCATATCGATCAGCCGTCAACGAGACCACGGGTCAGACTCCTGCCTGCCTTATGTTGGGTCGTGAACTACGCCTTCCATGTGACCTCGAGTTTGGGCGTAACCCCATGAAGAATATGTCGCAGGTGAAAATTATGTTGACCAACTAAAGGCGAAGATGAACGACATTCACGACTTGGCTAGAAGTCATATTCAGATTGCCAGCGATCGCATGAAAAATCAATACAACCTCCGCTCGGCCAATCAAACTTTTGAAGCTGGAGATCTGGTATGGCTGCACAATCCCCAGAGACGAAGAGGTCTTTCTCCCAAGCTACAAAGACAATGGGAAGGTCCGTATGAGGTGATCAAGAAAATAAATGACGTGATATATCGTATCAGAATGAACCACCGGAAACCGAAAGTTGTCCACATTAATCGACTCGCACGATATGCCGGATCCAACAACAACGAAGACGTTAGAGGTATTCGAGAAGAGAGGAACGCAGCTTTGGAATCGGGCCAAACTTTAACGATTTTATGTCAAATTACGCCCAGCGGAAGAAAGCTCGATTTGGCGTTACTCAGGAAATTTGTCAAAATATTTTTGAGCTTCCTGTTAACGTTTCCATCGCCCATTGTGTCACCGAAGACCTTCGCATGGGTAGAGGTATAGCTTCCGTATTCCGGAAAAGATTTGGAAGAATAGACGAGTTGATAAAGCAAAGACCACGAGTGGGTAAAGTACTGCGCTTGGAAGATAGTCAACGCTCTTTGTTCTACTTGGTTTCAAAGAAAACGTCAGAAGGCAAACCCACCTATGAAAACCTCTGGTCTGCTTTAAAAAGCTTAAAGAAACTCATGGCATACTATGACATAAATAGCTTGGCGATCCCGAAGATTGGATGTGGTTTAGATGGGTTGGACTGGAAGATAGTGCGAACCATGATCGAAGTGATTTTTAGAAACACTAGCGTTCGAATTACAGTATGCTGCTTCAACCCACAGGGGACGACCCTCCGCAAAACTGTGGACTGTTACTTTTTCAAGAAAGGTGTTTGTCGAGCAGGCTCTGACTGCAGATTTCGACACGAGGCATTAAAAAGTAATACTAACGCAGTTTCTGAACGAGACGTCCAGAATTAAGAAGGGGGCAGTGTAACGGGAAACGCTCCAGACATGACGTCACCTTTGGCGCTCTGGAATTTTCTACGCGCGCGATAGTGGGATTTGTGTAGGAATATTCGAGACTGTACGCGAATGTTCCTGGACTTACATTGTTTGCGTGTATAAATGGTTGCGGACCGAACATCGCGGCAGTTTTTATTACCGAACGAGATCGAACGCGGAAATATAAATTGCGAAGTGTGTGATATAAATAATCGATATAAATTGTACGGTTTTTATAGTGATTTAGCTTTGTTTAATAAATATTGATATAAATCGAACCCGAATTTATAAATCACGTTACAATACTTTCACCGAGTCATCGCTTCACAGAGCTACTCATCCAAGACGAGCACGAGCAGAATGCGTATCAAGGTCTCACGACTGTTCTGAACAACTTGAGACGGAAATTCTGGATTATCCGTGGAACAAGACAAGTGCAGTTCGTCGCGTGATAACTAAATGCATGAAATGCAAATTCGCCAAGGTAAAACCGCTGCAGCCGAAGATGGGCGATTTGCCGTACTATCGACTAGCTGTCGGCAATCCTCCGTTTACTTACACGGGAACGGATCTCTTCGGACCGTTGGAAGTTGTCGTCGGACGTCACAGAGAAAAGAGATGGGTTATGGTGCTGACTTGTATGGTCACGAGGGCTATACATCTGGAAGTGGTGTATGCTTTGTCAACCGACGAAACAATCATGGCGTTGTCGCGGTTCATTGACCAGCGTGGAAGACCGAAACATATATTTAGTGACTGTGGCACTAACTTCACCGGTGCTGCTAAGGTGCTACGGGAGAGCAGGGGCAGTTTGGACTGGAAAACAATCGTAGACAACCCGAAGTTTCGAGAAATGAAGTGGAGCTTTTCTCCGCCGTATTCACCACACTTCGGAGGTGCATGGGAGATCATGGTGCAGCAGTCCAAGCGAATTTTGAAGGCTACGCTGAACGACAAGCATCCCAAGGATCAGATATTGCTGACGGTTTTGAAGGGAGCGGAGAACATAATCAATTCTCGCCCATTAACTCCGATGTCCGATGACCCGGCCGACCCGGATTGCTTAACCGCTAATCACTTTCTACGTTGATTTGCAGACGTTGGAATGTCGATACCGACGTGTAGCAAGGAGATTGACGAATGGTACAGAAGAAGGAAGAAGGCACAGTTTATGTTGGAGACATTCTGGCGAAAGTGGAAAGCTGAAGCGTTACCGAAACTACTCAGGAGGGAAAAGTGGTTGGCAGATGCGGAGCCCATTAAAATTGGAGAAGTCGTGTTGCTCTTTGACGAACACGCTCCACGAAACACTTGGAAGAAAGGAATTGTGACCAAACTTTATCCAGGCAAGGATGGCAAGCAGATTTCAAGCAGAAAATCAGGAAGACTGTCCTGATTTTGGGGGCCGGAATGTCTGCGAGGACGACGAGTAACGTAGTTTTAAGAAAATATATTTTGAGTTATCAAGTACGTGAGAGAGTGTCAAGAAATAAATTGTCAATTTTTGTGATATAATAAAAACGCTAGAAAAAGAAAGTTCCTTTAAATACCGTAAAAGACTACCGATTATTAAGGGTTTGGTTAGGGATCATTACAGAAGTTATAGGGCTGAAAACACGTTAGTTTTCAATAGAAATTCAGGGCAGTTACACATTAGTCTGATACCTCTGCCACAATAATAAATAAACATAAGGATTAGAATGGCGGAGTGAGTAGTGCTTACATTCCTGGGGGAAGTCATTTGCTGAATACTGCGTGTTGACTAAGTGGTAGTATGCGCCTTCTTTCGCCATTAGCTCTTGGTGTGTACCTTCCTCGACGACTAACCCCTCGGAGAGAACTACGATTCGGTCAGCGTTTCTAATGGTGGATAGACGATGGGCAACTATAATTGTGGTGCATTCTTTGCTAGCCTGAAACGGAGATAGTCAGTTCTGGTAAGCGCACGCTGAGATTTACATTGTCCAGTGCAGCTTGCACTTTAGCCTCGCTGTTCGTGTCCAAGGCAGAGGTGGCCTCGTCTAATAACAAAATGGATGGATTCCGTACCAAAGCCCTCGCAATTGCGATTCGTTGCTTTTGCCCACCGGACAATTGAGTACCTCGCTCCCCCACTAGTGTATTGTAGCGCTGCGGCAATGACGATATGAAGGTGTGAGCATTCGCGCGCTTTGCTGCGTCTTCAATATCTTGGTCCGTCGCCGACAGATTTCCGTACCGTATATTTTGAGCAATCGTTGTACCGAAAAGAACCGGTTCTTGTCCAACTACACCGATCTGACTTCGCAGCCACGTCAAATCTAAGTTACCCAACTTCTTTCCATCGAGGAACACCTGTAGACCAACACGTTAGCGAGTTTTCGCACGGCTAGAGCACCTACCTCCCCGGATGTTGGATCATAAAGCCGCTGGAACAGCTGAATGCAAGTCGATTTACCGCACCCGGAACTGCCGACCAGCGCAACCGTCTCCCCGGACTTAATCTCAATGTCGATACCTTTCAAGACCTACTGAACGTGAAATTGCCTTCGCGAGTCTTGCTACTCACTTTGACGCCCTTTCGCGAAGGGTACTCGAAGTGGACCTTCCGAAAGCTAATGTCCCCCTTAACTTCCTTCGGTTTGAGCCCCACGTTCTTCGCGGCGTTTATAACAGGGGCACTATCGATGACTGCAAAAATTTTGGTAGCCGCCCCCTTGGATATGCCGAACTGTTCGATGTACGGTGACGACATGCCGAAATTAACACTCCCTTGCATTACAGCGAAGAACACCTACAAGACTATCAACTCTTTAATGTCCTAGACACCCCCGCGAGATCCTACCGTGACCATGTTGCCGGGATCGTAGACTCGCTCCTGCGGCGAAAGCGACTTCTCCTCCAAAATGAGCTTGATACCGTACCAAAACGCCAACGCGTAACTGGCGTAGATGAAGAACCACAACAGTCCGAAACCAATACCGCTCAGCAGCGATCGCTTGATGTTGTTATTTCGGGCGAACGTTAAGCGATTGGAGTATCTCGCGATCTCCTTCTCTTGGCCGCCGAATGCGACCACCGTACGGATTGCTGTCAGCACCTCTTCGGCGATTGCACCCGCTGCACCATATGCGTCCATCTCTTTCACCGCCAATTTCCCTGTCAACTATTTTAGATTAATTACCTGACTTCACTATAAATGTCACGTAAGTTTAGTATCGCAAAATCCTCTACGGCCCTAGTAAACAATAAATTTTACCCACGTTGGGTTACTTCCGACTTTTTCAACTACAGAAGTCTATACACAATTGGCCATACGCAGATTCAGACCCACAAACGATTGATAAAACGGCACGGAAGATTTTATACTTTCCGGTACAGGCTGATGGCGGCGAAAAAATTAAAACTGCAAAGCGTCCAGAATACGCCCCACCGTGACGGTCGAGTTCGGACCGGGAAAGATAGCAGACGTGCTCAGCGATCTCTGTGTTTACTTTTACCCGTTAACTTTTAAAGTCCGCAAACTTACATTCGAAACCCAAGCGGAATTTTTCTTTATCAAGACACGAAGCACGCGCGAGGATTTAAAACTGTGAGAAGGTTAAGACAGTGTGCTAATCAAATCAAAGAACAATGAGGGCGAAATCGAAGAAGTGCGAACGTACGAGTACGCCCTAAAGTTCGTCGGGATAAATAAGGAAAGGGACATGGCTGTTTGGAGCGATTTGGCAGCAACTTAGGGAACTCCCGGTGTCATCAGAAACCGTACAGGAGATCAGAGCTGGGCAGTATTCGATTTTGTAAATACTTTTTAGTATTCAAATCCTTTAAAGTATTCAAATACTTTGTAATTAAATACTTTTATGGAAGCAGTATTTGTATTTGTAACTCAAATACTTTCACAAATATTTAGTATTCGAATACTTCGCATAGTATTTGAATACTTAAACCTTCCTTTTTTTTACCAAAAATCGACTACGCCAAAATTTCTTGGGAAAACACTTTTTCTTATTAATTTTGGTGCGTATCCAAAACAATTCGTACTTTTTCGATCAGACTTCTCAAAATTCAAAGGGCTGTAACTTTTGAAATAGTAGCCCAATCTTGGAACTGTTTGAAATTATGGATTCTACAGGCCACATTCTATAAGGAAAATCAATTTTTTCTTGGAACTGTTTGTGCGTAGAATCCAAACAATTCGTACTTTTTCGATCAGACTTCTCAATCAAAATTATAGACTAGAAACCAATTTCGAAAGAAAATTCAAAGAGCTGTAACTTTTGAACTAGTAGCCCAATTTTGGAACTGTTTGAAATTATGGATTCTACAGGCCACATTCAATTAGAAAACTTTTTTTCCGGGTCGATCTGAGACAATTTGTTTTTCGGGTCTCAAAAAAAGGCAGTAATAACCTTCCTTTTTTACCAAAAATCGACTACACCAAAATTTCTCGGGAAAACACTTTTTCTTATTAAGAACGGAAGATACTCGGGCATCATATTAAGAGACTTCAATAAGCAACTAGACAGACTAGTAGGAGGGTAAGGGGAGGAACAAAGGATAGGCAAAATGCTCAAGCACGAGCAAGACAGCGTGAATGGAACTGAGGGTGGAAGACACATTCAGGAAATCCAAAACGGTGCTGACAAAATGGAGGAGAGTCAAAGAAAATAAGTATCACAAACACAGTAGAAGTATGGGCTAGTACAATAGGATCTGACTACAAAATGGCAAGAGGAGGAGGAGAAGAAAGCAAAAAGGGAGGAATGATCAGGGGGTATGTGAGACTTCTGGCAGTGGAGAAGAAAAGGGAAGAGTATAGAAATGAGCAGAACGAGGCCATGAACAAAAAGGGGGAAGGAAGACCATCTTGGAACGGGATCGCCGAGACGCTCAAGGCAAAACACTAGGGGGGCATAAACCTCCCATGTCACCGAACAGGAAGCAGGCCATGGACAACTACAAAAGAGCATTGAAGAGGTTTGGGCAAAATCCACACAAACTAGAAGCAAAGAAGGAGCTAAAGGAGGCCAGAGAGGAGCCTTTGAACAACCTGAGATCAATGACTTCGCCTAGTTTGCAGAGAACATCGCCAAGCTTAGCCCAATGGAGAAGAATGCGCATATGTATAATCACATCAAAGAAGAAAGGAGGAACCAAAAAATATGTACCAATGGAAGAAGCTCCTGAAGGAGGAACAAGAAGCACAGCTCCAGCTATTGGCCACTACCGCCGCCCTCTCATTTTAAAATTATCACATTTGCGCGAAAGTTTAATAATGGGCCTATTTTAATGCTAAATGAGCCAAAGGTATCCAAAAGTGGTATCTTTAACGCCAGTTGAGTAAAGGTCTGGTGGGGCAAGTCAGACCTCAACTTTGCCTACGCCTAAGCTTGTGAAGATAGTCAAATAATGGAAATGTACAAGAAAATAGAACGTCTAATGGAGAAGGAAGGGGGAGCTTGTTGCAAAATAGTCACAGCGCATTTTTCATCTACAAAATGTTTATACTTCAGGGCTCCCGTGACAGTTTATGAGCATGGATAATCAGATTCTCTCCTCTTAAAAGGTGCCGCAAGGAACGTAGTACAGGTGAGTCCCTCCACTCCCAGCGGAAGAGAAAGACCTCTAGAAAATGATGTTAGAGGCAGCTCATGGAATTTTTCTGCAAATCTTGATAAAATATGAGTGTTTACTAGGGGGTATTCCATACCCCTCAGACCCCTCGGGTAACAATTTCATTCACAAAATGTTTGCACTTTAGGACTTTCATGGTAGTTTGATGGTAAAAATGATTTTAGATCTTCTTTTCCTAAAAAGTGCTGCAAAGGTTGTAGCACCGGGAGACCTGGAGGGTATTCAACACCTCCCACCAAAGGAAAATGAATGACAACTTCTTGAAAATGATGTTAGAAACATCTGCGATTTTGGGCCGGGGGAGTATACTTACTACTGCAACTATGCCTATAGATATCATCGTGATCGGTAAAGATGTGAGGCAAATGAGGGCCAGCTCCCAACCTTTCACCAGCGCCAAAATTACGCTGGCGACAAACGTAACTTGGAAGGTCAGGAACATGGACACTTTGTCCCCCATGCCATCTTCCAGCTTGGTAATGTCTCTACAAGAAATCGCGTTAGCTTTCTGGACGTGGAGCCAATTGTGAGCTTACTCAGACATGCGGCTAGCGAAATCGCCAGTTTGCTCTAGGTCATACCAGCCCACGTCTTGGTTCAGAGAGCTACTGAAGTACAACTGTCGAATCTTGTTCACTTGCCGAACGGCGCTGTAGTTGTAGAGTACAGTGGACGAGTAGCTTAGAATAAACATGGCGACGCCCAGAAGGCAATTCTTTATCGCGAACGCTATAATGTTGTCGATGAACTCTACGCCGGCGACTTCTTTCTCCGCGTCGCTTATGAGAGGGTTTTTAGCGATGCTCGAATATCGGATAATGTCACCAGTAAGCGATCCAAAGATGAGAACGTTTAGGGGTTGGATAACCCCCGTACCCATCGCGCATAAGGTGCCCAACGCCAAAAGCCATCGGTCGAAAGTCGCGGCGTATCGGTACTGAAAGGATTTAGTCAAACGTCCAAAGTTACAACCCCTAACTTGCGCTTACCACTCCAAAAAATCCGACGGTCTTCAGGGGGTTCTTGAATTCGCTAGAAGCACTAATCGGGATCATTATACCTAAAAAAATAACTGAATCAAATACACTTACCCAGATTGGTTGTTTTTTTCGGGATTAGTAGCTAAATCCTCCTCATTTAGCTCGCCGGTTTTCATGGCACCTGAAAGATAACGCGGTTTAGATAACCAATCTTAATTATGTCATTGGGGGAGATTAAACTCCATTTCATCACTATACACACACATACAACTTTGCTTAGTCACGCTAATTGCGCTAGATTAGGACCAAGACCGAAGACGAAAACGGGAACGGAACGATTCCGGTTATAAATAAATCTCGGCGTATGCGAGGTTGTGCAAAAATAATATTCTACTCACTGGTGAAGTTCGGCGATTTTGCTCCGCCTCGGTCCAGTTTGATAACGAAAATGAATCGATGAAAGCGATAGAGGTGTCACGTTGATAATGACAATCGCTGAGGGAAAACTTTACATTTAATCTCGTTAAGTGGCGTGTTAATTTTTCGCAAATAATTGCGACACTTAGGTAGTTAATTACGCCATCGCGATCGTAAGGACAAATTATTTTGCTCTCACACTGCGTCACTAGTTCAAAAGAAGAGGCCAGAGTTTCACTTGGAGAGCACCCCTTCGGGGGACGTCTCTCTGGTCCTGCCGACATACAGGACGAAGTAGATCTCCTTACCAACTCTGAATCATTTGAACAGGCGTGTCCTCTGAGAACTGCCAAGACGCCCTATAACCATCCTTGGTGGTGTAGGGCGCTCGAAAAGAAGAAAACTCAATTGGGCAAACTGTTTCATAAGGCAAGGAAGAGCAAAGTTGCAGCCGACTGGAGGGCAAACCTAAGGCTATACAAGAAGGACATTAGAGAGCGTCAGAGAGAGGTATGGAAGAGTTTCTGTAGCTCTTCGGTATCTTGCCTAAATAAAATCCTTACAAAAGATTCATACCACAACTAGCTAGCCTCAGAAGAGAGGCTGGTTCCTAAACGGACAACCTCACAGAGACAGCTGAGGTAGTACGAGACACTCACTTTCCTGGAGCCTGAGGCAATCCGGCAATCCCGTTCACTCCCACGGAGAATGATTGGGTGGTTACCTGTCAGATGGTGGACGTGGGTGACCTGGTCGGTGAAATCGTTCTCAGCATACAAGTCACCCGGTTTGGACGGCATAATACCGGATCTCCTGCAATGGGGATTGGATGATATTGCTACCTACCTAGTGGGATTATATACGGGCTGTATCGCTTTCAGATACATACCAAGCAAGCTCGTATGGATCAAAGGGCATGCTGGAACGGAAGGTAATGAGAAATCCGATAAATTATCCCGACTGGCCTCAAAACGGGAGTTTTATGGTCCAGAGCCGACTCCTTCCACTTACAGTTACAATTGTAAACAACCCAATAACTCAAGACACCCAAAACCAGCACAGGGCTAGGTGGAACTTGATGTTAGATTGTCGCCATCCGAGAAAAGCCTTCAGAGGAGTAGTAATATATGGTAGATTCTAAATCTCACTAGACGAAAATCCCTAGAAAAGTCACTAGAATTGAGTGGTTCTGAACTGCAGTAGCGAGGTTTGCGCCTGTGCTAACGTCAAGGGGTCGAGGTTTGCGCTCCAGATAAAGTATCGGAGGTCACGATCAAATTGCCTTAAACGACCTTGAAACTTCACCGTAACCTGACAACAAACCTCCGGCCCAAACAGCTCGGACGCAAACCTCCGATACTTTATATCGAGCACAAACCTCGACTCCTTGACCTTGACGTTAGCACAGGAGCAAACCTCGCTAGCGCAGTTCAGAACCACTCAATCCTAGTGACTTTTCTAGGGGGATTTTAGTGTGATTTAGAATCACCCGTACACTGCCATCGACAATACCCCTCGACTCAGGCGCAAACCAAATTACTTTAGCTCGGACGCAAACCTCCGATACTTTATCTGGAGCGCAAACCTCGACCCCTTGACGTTAGCACAGGCGCAAACCTCGCTACCACAGTTTAGAACCACTCAATTCTAGTGACTTTTCTAGGGATTTTCATCTAGTGAGATTTAGAATCGGTCATATATTACTCTCGACTCAGGCGCAAACCAAATTACTTTAGCTCGGACGCAAACCTCCGATACTTTATCTCGAGCGCAAACCTCGACCCCCTTGACCTCGACGTGCTGCTTAAGGCGTCTCACGGCCGTCACGAAATCGACAGATTTGGTCCATGATTCCTCAGCATATGCCATCCACGACATCTTTAATACATGTACACCTTGTAACGAACATATAGAGGCTTATATAAGCGTCAATCCCCACCACCAGTCATATTTAGAATATAGTGTGATTTAGAATCGGCCGTACACTACCATCGACAAGACCCCTCAGGCGCAAACCAAATTACTTTAGCTCGGACGCAAACCTCCGATACTTTATCTCGAGCGCAAACCTCGACCCCCTTGACCTTGACGTTAGCACAGGCGCAAACCTCCGATACTTTATCTGAAGACGCAAACCTCGACCCCTTGACGTTAGCACAGGCGCAAACCTCGCTACCGCAGTTCAGAACCACTCAATTCTAATGACTTTTCTAGGGATTTTCGTCTAGTGAGATTTAGAATCTGCCATATATTACTACTCAGAGGACCATCTCGTAGTTTGGCGCGTTTTTGTACAGGGCTATCAAGGAAGAACCTGAGGTTACTCGTGGGCATACCTTCTGGGCACTGTAAACTAAACAAGCACATGCACTGCATGGGTTTGGTGGAATTACCATCTTGTAGAGGATGTTACACAGACGACGAGACGGCACACCACATACTCTTTGAATATCCCGCTCTAGTCCAACTAGATCAATGTTGGGGGAATGGCTACGATTAGAGTCGCCTCCCCTTCCAACGTCCTAAGGTTTATTTCACGTGTGGGATGGCTTGAGTGACGTTGAGGGGGCGACCCTAGTCAGTGAGGTAGTACAAAGGGCCCGAATTTGAGGCGTAAGTACGCAAACCTCCGATACTTTATCTCGAGCGCAAACCTCGACCCCTTGACCTTGACGTTAGCACAGGCGCAAACCTCCGATACTTTATCTGAAGCGCAAACCTCGACCCCTTGACGTTAGCACAGGCGCAAACCTCGCTACCGCAGTTCAGAACCACTCAATTCTAATGACTTTTCTAGGGATTTTCGTCTAGTGAGATTTAGAATCTGCCATATATTACTACTCAGAGGACCATCTCGTAGTTTGGCGCGTTTTTGTACAGGGCTATCAAGGAAGAACCTGAGGTTACTCGTGGGCATACCTTCTGGGCACTGTAAACTAAACAAGCACATGCACTGCATGGGTTTGGTGGAATTACCATCTTGTAGAGGATGTTACACAGACGACGAGACGGCACACCACATACTCTTTGAATATCCCGCTCTAGTCCAACTAGATCAATGTTGGGGGAATGGCTACGATTAGAGTCGCCTCCCCTTCCAACGTCCTAAGGTTTATTTCACGTGTGGGATGGCTTGAGTGACGTTGAGGGGGCGACCCTAGTCAGTGAGGTAGTACAAAGGGCCCGAATTTGAGGCGTAAGTACGCGTGGACTCTGGTCACCCTCCTATCGTCATCCAGAATCCAGAAGGGGGTTGACCTTCTCTACTTAAAACAAAACTTTGGATTTTTAAGCACACTCGAAAATTCTTCAAATTTTAACTGGCGCGTTAGCTCAAACCATTGTAGCAGAAGCAGCCAAATTACGATGAATAAAACCAGTGGAGGAGGAGAGTACCGTTCAAAACAAATTAATGACTGCATTACTGTTGAAGTTCAATGTGTCTAGGTGACAAAGACACAGCTGCGGTGTTGGAATTGCGGAGAACTTGGGCATTTCCAGAATCATTGTCGAAAGACTGGTGGGAGTTAAAAGCCGGGAAAACTAGAAAAAGGCCCCACTGTCCCCGCACTCAATACTAATAGTTCGATTTGTGTCGACGGTGGGGAAACGCCGTATAGACACCACCATAGAAGCCATCGACAGATGGATGGGGGAGAAGAGGTTAAAACTTGTGGGGAAAAAAGACGGCGGCCATTGTAGACATGCGAAAACTTCCCCCCGATAGTGATGAAGATTGAGGGGTGGGGGGCTAGGGGATACTAGGGATCACAACAGATACAAGCTTGAAGTTCGTTAACCACGTGAAAATCCGATCCGATCCAAAAAAAAGTTGCAAATCCTTTACTAGCGCGGCAAACAACGCCATGTTATAACTCCTTGGCTCGCTGGCTGGAGGAACGAGGCCGTAGGACATGGTACGGAGAGGTACACTACCATCTAACACAGTTCTTACCAGGACACGAGGAGAACCCAAATTACCTACACAGATTCAAAAGGCGACGGGACTACACCTGTGCGGACTGCGGGCATCGAGACACTCCAGGACACGCAGTATTTGAGTGTGAGTGGTGGGAAAGACGTAGGTGGACGTTGAGAATGAAGTTGCCGGACCCGATAGAAGAGGATAGCAGCATGATAGGTGTTATGTATTACTTGGTTTGCATATTAGTTACCATTTGTAGAAGGCATTGAGTCAGCCTACTAATAAAGCCAGTCGTGTTTTAGTACCTATCAAATTGGGGTCCGTTAACTTGGCCCCCCCACTGAGAGATTTCATAGTCGTATTATTTTAAAATGAATGCGCTCGTTATGCGCTCATATGCGCCACCGATAATAACTCTTGCGCCATTATCGGTTTTTAGAAATCCGAAAAAAACATTTGGGGGGGGGGGGCAAATGAACGTACCCCCCCCCCCAGTACGTATTTTGTCCCTTGTAACTAGGTCACCTGATACATTTGGTTATGCGCTCAATTGCGCCACTTGAATTAAAGCTAGCGCCATTACGGTTAAGCCGTGACAAATTTTTCAAAAAGTGGGGGGGCCAACTTAACGTTTTTAAAAGTTACTTTTTTTTAACATCTTTTCATACGAAATTGTACTCTCAGGTATGCGCTGAAATGCGCCGTAAAAAGATATCTTTGCGCCATTATTGTTTTTTGGTTATCCTTAAATATATTTGGGGGGGGGGGGGGCAAGTGAACGGAATCCCCCATAACGCATTTTGCTACCGGTATTTGTGCACTTGATACATCTGGTTATGAGCTCAAATGCGCCACTTGAATTAAAGCTAGCGCCATTACGGTTAAGCCATAAAAAATTTTTAAAAAGTGGGGGGGGGGCTAACTTAGCGTTTTCGCCGGAAATATTTCAGAAATTTATGTATGACACCTTAAATGACATTGAGGGAGTAATAGCGTACTTTGGCGAAATATTAGTTTATGGAAAAACAATTGAAGAACATAATTTTAATTTGGAAAAAACTCTGCAAAAAATTGCAAAATCTGGATTAACTTTAAATTTACAAAAATCTAAGATTGGTGTTACAAAAGTAAAATTTTTGGGGCACTATATTAGTTCACAAGGCATTGAAGTTGACAACAGTAAAATTAAAGCCATTTTAGAAATGAAACCACTCAGCAACAAAAAAGATCTACAACGCTTTCTGGGTATGATTGTCTATTTGTCAAAATATATACCGAATCTTTCAACTGAGACTGTAATTTTAAGAAAATTACTTTCAAATAGTGTGGAATGGCAATGGTCTGCTAATGAACAAAGAGTTTTTGATCGTCTGAAACAGCTAGTGACGTCATCACCAATCCTTAGCTATTTTGATCCAAATAAAGACACTGTATTATCTGTCGATGCAAGTCCTTTCGATATTGGAGCTGTTATTATGCAGGAAGGACATCTAATAGAATACGCTTCAATATCACTTACTTCAACCCAACAACGTTATAATTACATAGACAAAGAGCTTTTAGCTCTAGTTTTTGGTTGTGAACGTTTTCATTACTACTTGTTTGGCAGAAAATTTTTGATTGAAAGTGACCACAGACCTTTAATAGGATTACTGAAAAAACCTCTCGATGAGATGTCACCTCGAATCCAAAGGTTGGCACATAGATTACTAAGGTATTTTTTCGATCTCAAGTATGTTCCGGGAAAAAATCAACAAATAGCTGATACTTTAAGCCGAGAACCTTTAAAAGACCACATTGATACAAATTACCTTGAAGAAAATCTAAGAGTGTTTTCGGTAATTACAACTTCAGCTGAGAACGAAAAGCGCCTACAAAATGAAATTGATCAAGACTGTGACCTACAAAAAATCAAGTACTATGTTCAAAATGGTTGGCCGTCCCACAAGTGTAACCTACCACCATCACTCAAAATATTTTGGCAAATAAAAGAAGACATTTTATCTTCACAAAAACATACTTTTTTACAAGAAAAGAATTACTGTGCCAAAAAATTTGCAACATGAACTTTTAAAATTGTTGCATAAGTCTCACCAGGGAGTAGTTTCTACCAAACTGCTTGCACATGAATCCGTTTATTGGCCTGGCCTGGCTTAACAACAGACATAGAAAATTTAGTATTGTCCTGCTTGATTTGCCAAAACCAAACCACACAAGGTTCCAGATTTGCCTTGGCAAAAAATTGGAATTGATTTTATAAGCCTGGATCCTCTAAATTTGATTGTTATTGTTGACTACTTTAGCAAATTCGTAGTAGTCAACAAATTACCAAACAAAACGGGAGAAAGTGTGATAAGCTCTCTTAAAAACGTTTTTGCTATTAATGGTCTACCACAGGAAATTATGTCAGATAACGGACCTCCATTTAAGTCTAAAGAATTTTTTAATTTTGCTCAACAATATGACATTAAATTAACGACCTCGAGTCCAACATACGCTGCATCAAATCGAATTATTGAGAGAGCTATTCAAACTGTTAAGGGTTTACTTACCAAAGCATTTGAAGAAGGCACTGATCCGTTTCTCGCAGTGTTAATTATAACATTACTTCGAAGCAAGATTTTCCATCTCCCAGTATTTTGTTAATTGGAAGACGATTAAGCGGTATATATGCAATTTTACACATTCGTACTACTATTTGCAATGATTGCAAAAGTTATTCGCAAAAGTTATTTAGACTGATTTAAATTGTGCGGTTTGGATTTAAGCCTCTTGGATCATTTGAAGTATTGGGTTTTTGCATTTCACGGTGCTCTTAACCTTTAAGTGGGGAAAGTTTATCAGAAATAATTATAGTTGACAATTTAATTATTGGATATCATGAATATGCGATTTCCAGACCATTTATCAAGAATCATTGACAAATAATCTGACAAATGTACGTTTTAATCACATAATACGAAAGAAACAGACGTGGATGACAAGTACTTATAGGAAAGTGGAGAAAGTAGAGAAGAAGGACTAACATGAACAGACGTAGGCACAGAATTTAAAAGAATGTAACAGAACAGAAATAAGAGATACAGACAATCTGGCTCAGGAATGTAGAGAGGTGGAACGATCACAGATAAGTAAAAAGGGAGAATGAAGGAGAAAAAAATGGACGAAGAAAATTGCAAAAAAGGAAATAAAAGACAGCAGAAAGAAAGAGACGAGGAGTACGAGTCGGAGTCAACACGAGGAAAGAGGCGAAGAAATTGAAAATTACAAGGAGTAAATTGGGTTTTTGGTAAAATAAATGTGTCACCATGTCCGCCATTTTTTTTTATTTTCCAACAAAGATATCACACCAACGAAAAAAAAAACAATAAATTACACAGAATAATACAATTGCGTATACAAGGTTTAATCGCTACTGACTATTAGGTATTCGTTAATCTAAAGTCACAGACTAATGAGAAATGATCTGATGGATACAAATATGATGGAACTCTATCCTGGCCAATGTCCTCTCCTGAAGGGAAATCGAGGACCGCCTCAACTTCCATGGCATCGCGACTGTAAAATATGTAATCGATCGTATGGCACACCTCGCCCTCCTCCCTTATCTTCCACGTCGTGTACGGTGGTTCACGATCGGCCGATCGCAGATCGGCAACATTGCAACTCGCGTAAGCACTGGAAAAGTCCATACTGTTTAAGATCGTTTCGTAAACCGGCTCGGTCGGCTCGGCATTAAAATCGCCGCACAATATAATAGGTCTATTGCCACAATTATATCCAATAAACTGCAGCAGATCCTTTCCCTGTTCGTTTCTCAGCGTCGACAGCAACGCCCCCTCTCTCGCCTTGAGGTGAGTCGTCACGACGCACACCTCCTGACCGGTCTCACGAATTCGTAATACTGCCATAACTGCCACCTGCGGAAAAAATTCGTCGATTAACAATCGGCCAATCACGGAACCTGTGCGCGCGCACCTGGTTACTTTGTATTCGCCAAATCTCCAAGACTTTATTCTCGTTCTTGACTAAGTCGAACTTGTTCTTACGGTAAAATATGGCACAGCCGTCGGGACCGTTGTTTCCCTCGATGTAGAAGCACGGGGAGTCCGGTTTCGGGAAGAACATCCCCTCGTAGCCTTGCGTGCCGAGTACGTGCTTGAGGAAATTGAAGTGGTCAACCTCCTGAAAATGGAAACAGTTTAGTCGATAACTGGGTCGTTTAAGATCGTTTAAAGATGAAATAAAGCGGTGGGGATAAGAGGCAAAATGGAATGTCTGCATCTGCATCTCAAGAAGATTGCCCAAGGGGAAAACACGGCCGAGGATGTAGTCATCTGCAGGTATCTGACCCCCAACGAATTCTCATTAACGCCTTCAACGAAACATACGCTCTAAGTGTCAAATCTCTATCTTCCATCTTTTCAACTGTAAAACTATTTCCGGGAATGCTCCCTTATAATCCCTAAGGAACCTACATGCCAAATTTTAGCTTTTTATGCCAAGCAGGCAACGGAAGAATTGTATATTGTTGTATAGACAACGTCATGGAGAGTTACTTCGATTTAAACATCAAAAGTAATGACGGGACATCCTCTACATCAGAAATGGGAGGGGGGGGGGGGGGGGGGGGGGGTAATGTTCTTTTTTTCCTTTTGGTTTTGTTTGTAATTGCATAATTTTTGTTTAAATGTTTATTGAGATTTGATGTGTTAATTGTGAAACGTGTGTTAAAATGTAGGGACATCTGGTTGTTTGCGATAAGAGGTTTTGTTTTCAGATGATTAACGCACGCGTTCCGGTGTGATAACAAAAGATTTTCGGCGTAAGTGGGGACGCGTTTCCGTGTTATTGTAGTGTGTAGTTAGAAATTGGGCGGTGAAGGACACTAGAAGACTGTCCTCTAAAATTCATAGAAGATCGGTTAGTTTTAAATCCATAGAAAAATGAATATTTCTGAAGGTGAGAGAAATTACGCTAGTTTTTGAGAGCTGGAGGATCTGTTTGAGCTATCCCAGGAACAAAATTGGCTTCGTGAAAGAAAAAGGCATCAAGAACTCCATAATGTAATAAACACCTTGACCTCCCTGGACGTGCGAAACGCTTTCCACGCCGTCATCACAAGAGCACCGCAGGATAAAGCATCGAACGCGGTTAATACGCAGTTCCCTTACCAAAAAAGGATCATATAGAAGTCCTGTCCGGCCCAAAAGCATCAGTAGGAGTGACGCCCTCTCTTGGTCCGCTGTGGTGCTACACAGCCCGTGCCAAAAAGAGTTACCATAGGGGAGTATCGAGACGACCTCGCTATAGTAGCAACAAGCAGAGAATTGGAAGAGTCGGTGAGGGTTACGGAGTCCTCGGATGCCATCATGATACGGGAATAGATGGAGAAGACTGTCCTCGAACTTGTAGGGGCGAAGACGATGATGGCAAATGGGAAGAACCTCCTCATCCCCTCTCCTAATCTAGCGTGGCGTTCGGATGTAGACGAGTAAGGGGCAGAGGACATCCAAAAGGTCTCAATTAACACTTCCAAAATTTACCTGTAAGCATATGACGTCAGGACAATATTGTACGATTTCCTCCACGATCCTGTATCGACGAAAATTCCAATCGAGCGCGCTGTCGGGGCACCGGGCGAAATTGTCGTTCATCACCCCCAAAGCTACACGCGAAAAGAGACGGTTAGCAAAATTCCCAGACGAAAGCGCGCTTACCTTGGGAGAGAATGTTCCATTGTAGAATTCGCACGTTGTAAGCGCCCGACACGTAGTCGCTGTAAGCTGCAAGAGCAAAAGGTCAAATCTGTCAAATTCGCGCGGTTAGCTACCTTTGGAGACGCTGTTAAGCTTGTGAAAGTTGGCGCTGTAGTCGGTCTCGTACACTGGAGATAATCGAAAGTTCCTCTTGATCATGGGGTGTAGCTGCAAGTAGTTTTGGCAGTGCTTCAGTAGTTCAACTCTGCTGATGGTGTCGGGCAAACGTACATCTCTGTCTTGATTGTCGTCGTTCAGAATTTTGGGAGCGGAGCTGAAGCTTCCCATCCTGCAAAGAAACAGAACGTTAGCCGTGTAACTGACCCGCTGGAAGACAACCTTAATAAAAGCGATTTTTTGTGTTTAAGATCCATGCTACTGTCTGTCGGTGCGCCGTCCAAGAAAGCGGGGACGTTAATGCGAGGTAGTTCGGTTTAAAAACCGCAGGAGACCGTGCAGTATTGTGTTGAAAGTTAATCTGCATATCCATTGACAAATTCTATTATTTTGGCACTCCACGTGCTCCAGATAGCGATCGTAAGATTAAAATCCAAGTACGCCGTGGTAAAGGTCAGTATGTAAAGTACAATTTTGGCAAGTAGATTATTTCTTTTCGACACGAAATTTTGACATATTCGACCAAATCATTGAACTGCAGTGGGCCAAGGATACAATCTTTAACCTCCAAATATTGACTCCCCCTTATCGCCCCTGAAACGTAGAACTCCACAGATTTCTTCGGTCATCTCGCGGAGGAAGAGGAGTAGATAGTCATAACGAAAGAAGCACAATAATTGATAGTCAGATATGTGCATGCATTTAGATGATCTGTACATTCACAATTCACAACGACTCATAAAGTGAGTGTACAAAAATTCTTGAGATGCTCACTAAAATTTGCCTGGGGGGTTCGTACACATCCTTCAGACATTCTTCATCTACTTTCCTCAGAGGTTTTGCAAAGTTTTTTTGAAGACCATTTCATCCGTTCTTTAGTTAATTTCTACAAATACTTAAGAAGTTGTTGAGCGACTTCTTCAAGAAGAATTTCTTCAGTTCTTCAAAAATGGGAATGACATAAGAATTATTCATTTTGAGTTTCATCAACATCACATATACTATACTGGAACACCTCCCAGCGCTCGAAACTTTTCGGTTCTACACTCTTCCCCGAAATATTTAATGCTTCTTCCACTTGCATCATCATTTTTAGGAAAGGGTCATCGAACGTAACACAAGAAGTCTATAGAGTAGGGATGCTCCTTGGGAAACTAAGATTCGATATGGCCTTTATGAAAAACTATATCGGAGGCCTTATGAATGAACGACCAGAGCAAAAGTGTACCACAGGAGTGTCTGGGGGCATGTCTCTGGAATTCCCCACAGCGCCCCGGAAATCTGATGATATGTGCAAGGAAATGAAAATAACATCCTCCTTTTTTTCCCGAGGGGTGTTCCGGTTGGGATGCATCCTTTGAGGATGAATGTAGCACCGGGGGGGGGGAGTGTCTGGGGCGCATGGAATACACCCACCACAAAAAAGGATTCCCCAGTACCCCCGAAGATTTTATGATATCTGCAAGAAAAGGAACATTGAATCCTTCCATTTCATGGGGGTACTCCATACACCCGGTTTGGAAATCCTTAGGAAAGGACACTTCAGTGATCCTATAATAAACACCTTAGTGCTGAGTGTTCACAGATTTCGCAATCCATCCAACCGTCGGAGACATTGGATATAAGGGAATATACCCGACCACGATAAGAGGTCCAGGAGGAGGGCTATGGTTGGTAGAAGTTAATTCATTTCGTTGAGACCGAGACCCTTAATCTATTAGAATACAATGAGAGCTAAAATTAATGTCCCCCCCCCCCTCAGGCTCCATTGCTCACTGATTTCGAAAAAGAGTCGCACGGGAAAGTTATAGTTTGTACAAGCCAATTTATTTCGATGAGACCTTTCATTAGAATACCATGAAGGGTACAACATGCGTTTACCCCCCCCCCCATTTTGTAAACTCTAACTTGGCACCACTAAAGGCATGCGTATGCAAAATCCGAGACCAATTGGTTCTCGTATGTAAAAGTTATGCACGTTTTACTTTCAAAAACAGCATCTCAGGCAATAATTCGTGGGGGGGGGGGGCTTTTAGACAGCAAAATTTGATGGCCGTTTGGCACACCTTCAAGGTATAAGCTATCTACTGCAAAAAATTCCAGGACTCTAGGACCATTCCCCTAGAAGTATTTCAAAACGGTAGAAGTGGGTCCGGACGGACGGACGGACGGACAAAACTCAAACAATAGTACATTTCTTTTAATTCTTAAAAAATGCGCTAAACAGATTTTAACGTTTTGTGGAGGACCACTGGTGGGGTTTGGGGATTATGGAATACCACTCAGCGCATACAAAGGTTTTATAATATGAACAAGGAAATGAACATTGATACTTTTCCCTCTTCTGAGGAGTATTCCAATAACTATAGCAAAGTCTTTAGGGATAAACGTTTTGAAGAGGAATGCGACAACGAGAGGTCTGGGGATATGGAATCCCCAGCGCACTCGAAAATTTTATGTTATCTCGAAGGAAATTATGCGGGTCACTCTGTAATTGGCCGCAAGCCTGTTGAGGGCCCAGAACAAGAGAGGGATAATAAATAAAAATGAATATTGAATCTTTCTTTTTTCAGACTCCCACACACCCCGATTGGGGTGATCCCTAGAAAAGGAAGACTCCGTAATCCTTTAAAGGACTACAACAACAACAGCAACCCCCCCCCCCCCCCAACACACCGGTGATACGTCTATATGTTCACCCTCAAACGTGCAGCCCTAAAGAGTTTTTCAAAAAACAGTTGCTGTGAGTACAAGAGTAGTACACATTCTGAAGAAGAATGCCTGGAGGGTAAGGAATACACTCCCCCCCCCCCCCCCCGGCAAAAAAGAAACAGTTAATTTCCATTTAGCATTTAGCTACATCCTGAGATTTCGTACACTGGGAGGGGTTATATTATATGTATATATATTTGAAAGGGTTGTAACTTTTGATCTAGTAGTCCAATCTTGGAACTGTTTGAAATTATGGATTCTACGGGCCAAACTCTAAGAAAATGTTTTTTCCCGGTCGATCTCAGACAATTTTTTTTCCGGCCTCAAAAAAAGGCAGTTATTTACCTTCCTTTTTACCAAAATCGACTGCTCCAAAATTTCTCTGGAAAACACTTTTTCTCACTAATTTCGTGCGTAGAATCCAAAACGATTCGTACTTTTTCGATCAAACCTCTCAATCAAAATATATATATATATATATATATATTATATTATATATATATATATATATTATATAATATATATTTTTTTTTTTTTTTGATTGAGAGGTCTAATCGAAAAAGTATGAATTGTTTTGGATTCTACGCACCAAAATTAATAAGAAAAAGTGTTTTCCCGAGAGATTTTGGTGCAGTCGATTTTTAGTAAAAAAGGAAGGTAATACACTGCCTTTTTTTGGGCCCCGAAGAAGAAATTGTCTCAAATCGATCGGGGAAAGACATTTTCTTATAGAATGTGGCCTGTAAAATTCATAATTTCAAACAGTTTCAAGACTGGGCTACTACTTCAAAAGTTACAGCCCTTTGAATTTTTTTTCGAAATTGGTTTCTAGTCTATAACTTTTGATTGAGAAGTCTGATCGAAAAAGTACGAATTGTTTTGAATTCTACACACCAAAATTAATAAGAAAAAGTGTTTTCCCGAGAAATTTTGGTGCAGTCGATTTTTGGTAAAAAAGGAAGGTTAAACACTGCCTTTTTTTGAGCCCCTCAAAAAAAATTGTCTCAAATCGACCCGGAAAGAAATGTTCTTATAGAATGTGGCCTGTAGAATCCATAATTTCAAACAGTTCCAAGATTGGGCTACTAGTTCAAAAGTTACAGCCCTTTGAATTTTTTTTCGAAATTTGTTTCTATTCTATAACTTTTGATTGAGAAGCCTGTGTTCACCTTCAAACCGTGCACGTGCAGCCCTCTTTCAAAATTGTTGCTGTAAGTACTACGGGTACTTACACCTTTTGGAGAAAAATGTATAGTGGGTTGGGTTGGCAGAGTAGCCTTGGCTGAAAGCCCGCCCACTCAAAATGGGAATGGTCAATCTCCATTTAGTTACAACTGACGTATCACATCAGGTTTACGCACACTGTGGGGAGGGGGTATCCATAACCCCCAAATCCTCCGGTGATACATCCACCCTCAAAACGTTCAGCTCTAAAGACTATTTCAACAAATTTTGCTGTAAGTGTCAAGTGTGCTAAACATTTGGGGGGGGGGTCTGGGGGCTAAGAAATACCCCCCAGGTAAATCAAATAGTCTTTCATTTACCTACAACTGACATCACATCAGGCTTTCGTACACTTGGGGACATTCCATACCCTCCAGACCGCCCTCAAAACTTTCGTTGGTTATGATGAATTTTGAATAATTAGGGTACCTTCAGTGAAGGAAAGATTAATTGAGTTCGTTCCCATTTTTAACCCCTCTGGGGAAGTAAAAGTACGAGCTCCCATTACATTGTCTTCCCGAGAATTCCTTTAGAAAATTGGGGAAATATACTTAGTTTTGCCATCTCAGTACAACACGATTTAAACGATTGTGTTTGATACTAGGCGGAAGGGCGCAACGGGAAATTAAACGTCGGCAACCCCGTTCGCTTCTGGCATGAAAATCTTATATAAGACACCTTTCTGTTGCTCCTCTAAGGGTGGTTGCTGGTTCCTCCTCTTCACACCACATTTACATTTGCTGTTGTTAAGAACGGTCTGAAGAACATCAAATATCGGTGGTTGAGTCTTCAAAGAAGGTGCCTCTTTCCTTTCCTCGGCCAGGATACTTATCTCCATTCTGGACGGTTGCGGATGCTGTTGCTCTTCCGGTACCTTCTGCTCCTGATCGGTCTCTTTTTTTAGTAAGTGTGTGGGGGGGGGGGATTCATCTTGCACCACACATTCCTACCGAACGGAATTTATCAATTAAAGAATGAGCGAATTTAACACCAGAAATCAAAAAACCTCATCTTCTAAACTTTTGGCTTGTGTCTTAAAACGTATGTTATCATTAATATGTGCAAAAATGGGGAGGTGGGGGTGCGAAGTTATAGATTCCACGTACCCTCACCGACACTTCGAGCTCATCACGGCACTATTTCTTCAGACCCTGAGTGATGGACCGTGGTCAAGTATTTGCACTACTCCACTACTCAGTAACAAAAATAGCCGCGATATTTCAACACTAGATGGCGTGTTGCTATTGGCCGGAGTTACACCTTGAACCTGGACGTGGTGCATTTAAAGTACCTACGTGGTGACCATTACAGTAAATTGCCTAGGCGCGTGTTAAAAAGGTGTAGTGAACGATTGCACATGACCAGAAATTACTTTTCCCCACAAAGTGGTTAAGTAACCGTTTTCCTAGAACGAGAGTGAGTAATACCCAAGTTCAAAAAACCACCGACATAAAAAAAAGATAAAACCTTAAAAACAAATAAGTGTTATTGAGGTTAGATAATCACTTTTACTTTAAACAAATTGTGCACGTCAGCTTTGTTAATTTACTGTAGCGATTAACATAAATTAGTCAAGAAGGTCATGGCAATAATGAATTAAAAAGACATACAAAACCGGAAGACGGAAATAGAGCGTTTGGTATTAACAAATCTTACCTTGGCAAGGCCAGAACGCGGCCGAATCTCCTCACTGACTGCACCATTAGTTTATTCCCCCAGGCGACCATTCTAAATTTCCTTGGTAGGTACGCGCTCAGTTTAGTTCATATAAAATTAGACGAAACTCGTATACTCCAAAGAAAGAACGATGTGCTTCTTAAGTTGTTCATACTCTATTTAAAAAAACAAAAAGAAATATACGACACTATCACCGTACACCACCAGCGGTTATTACAAAACTGAGCACTCACTGCCAATGATTTGTCCCATAAACGATATCAAAAGTGAACCTTTAAACAGACTATACGCTTATCAGACGCGACTGAGATACGAAACGAGTCTGAGTTTGTTTTTTCTAATACATTCCAGTTTTTCAAAGGGCCCGAGTGCCGTCACGCATGAGCGCGTGATCGCCACTTTTCGAGCGAATTTGACCTGATCCAGGGGGTCGAACAAAAACATCGGATGATAAGGCCTGAAGGTTATAATACGGCCCGCTGAATAATCAAATCGTTCGATTTTCATTGAAGATTACTCAAAATGTGACGTGAAAGTCACCTTACCTGCACTTATCTGGCCTAGACAATCTAATCTGGATCATTGGTTACATTGTCATAGTGTACCTCTGGTGCTAAAAATAGCTTTTGGTCACTCAAAAAATCTTTGGAGTATTCTTTTTTGAACCATTGCCAGCACCATGGCTGCAACCAGGCGAAGATTTTTGATACGATCACTTGCGTCAATGATACAATGTACCTAATCAGTGTAATCTTTCAAAACTGTTTTGCAGTGTACGTCACTGGATTGTATTCAATGTACACCAGAACTTTTTTCACTCATGATCCGTTATTCTGTAAGAGATTGGGAAAAATAGATGAGGTCTGTTGTTAAATAAACAAAGAAGTCCTGCACGAATTGAATGGTAAAGAGAAAAAATGACACCTTTCAACATCTGTTATTTATTTACTATCACTCCCATGGTAACACATTAACATTCGAAATTCCATAGGGTTCCTTTACGCTAGGAAAATTAACATTTGGCTAACAAACGCAGACCCTTCCTGACTCTTCTCATACTTGGACTTCTTGAAATTTTACATTTCCGTCTACGGTGACCTAACTCGTCACATTTGTAACGTTTTGGGACGAAGGCTTATCTTTACTGGGAAATGAGGCAGCATCCTAAGTAGAACTATTTAAGGTGCTCCTATCATTCATCCGCTACTCAACAACACATAACCTCTCCGAAACTTTAACAAATTCATGGTACTCGACCGGTATCGTGTGCAAAATCCGATTCAGGTACAGTGAACTTGGCAATTTTACATTGAAACGGCGATCCTGCCCTTTCTATAGTCGTGGACATATGCATCAATTGTCTTACCCGAGTCGACCAACTCACGACAATAATATTCTGAGCTCTAAATTGGAGGTTCTTGAAGGATGCCTTCTCTTCTTCATACGATCCGCTAACCTTGGGCGTTGCATCTGCACCTAGTTCAGTAGATTGAATTTCTTGCCTTACACTTTGCCCATGCAGCCATTTACACTCAACGGAATTTAGACTTGGAATTTCCAATCCAATTCCACTACCACGATAAACAACCGAGACGATAGTAACTAAGTTCTATAAAACTACGCACACGACGCACTTCCGTTAAGATCGTTCACAACGAAGTTCCTACAAAAATAAAGTCTCGCAATACTGGGCCCATAACCTGACGAGATCTGTGGAGAAGTCTTGTACGAATTGAATGGTAAACAGTTGTAATTAATAATGAAAAGAAATGGACCCCCCTCCCAGTAAACGACAGTTCCATTGCCATTTCCAGAATACCCCCCAGGCCCACAGATTCTTCACGAGATCTGAAGCCTACCATTTTGTAAAAGAAGGTGTTACCGAGGGGGCTGGGGGAACGACAGTACAATTGGTATTTCTAGAATACCATTTTTGGCAATAGCCTTCGATTTTCACGTTTTCTGCAAGGTATTTCAAACCCCCAGGCCCTCCGGTTCTATGTTCTCTACGATGCGAAGAGGACGAACTCATAACCCTTCTCCAACAACTGTAAATAAAGCTGTTACCGGGGTCTGGGGGGTATGAACCATATCCAGAAAACCACCATAGGAGTGCTGAGGATTTGACACACTCTTTAGGAAATATTCGCCAATTCTCTCGTTAGCTTGTCTGAAGTCTAAACGTTTTTGTAAATGAATGCGTTACCGGGGGGGTCTGGGGGGTATGAAATACCCCCCCCCCCTAACGACAGTTCCATTACCATTTGCAGAATACCACCAGAAGAGTGCTGAGGATTTAACATACTTTTTAGGAAATATTCGCCGATTCTCTCGCTAGCTGGAGGTTATTCCATACTCCCCCCCCCCCCCCACACCCCGATTCTATGTTCGCTAGAGGACGTAGAAGAGCATCTTATAATCCTTCAACAACTATCATGAGATCTGAAGTCTAAACGATTTTGTAAAAGAATGCGTTACCGGGGGGTCTGGGGGGTATGGAACCCCCCCCAGTAAACGACAGTTCCATTAACATACTTTTTAGGAAATATTCGCCGATTCTCTAGTTTGCCGGGGGGTATTCCATACCCCCAAACCCCCTTGATTCTCTGCCCGCTACAGGACGTAGAAGAGGATCTCATAATCCTTCAACAACTGTCACGAGATCTGAATTGTAAACGTGCTTGTAAAAGAATGCGTTACCGGGGGGGGGGGTCTGGGGGGTGTGGAATACCTCCCAGTAAACGACAGTTCCATTACCATTTGCATTAACATACTTTTTAGAAAATATTCGCTAATTCTCTCGTTTGCTGAGGGGTTTTCCATACCCCCCAAACCATAGTCATAGCCTATTTCAGAATACCATCATAAGGGTGCTGAGGTTTTAACATACTTTTTTTGAAATATTCGTCGATTCTTTCGTTTGCTGAATTATCCCCTCTCCCCTCAAATAATTCGAATGTTGATCCTCTCACGCACCCAGTCAGTGGATGTGGTATCTGGATAGAAGGTGCGTGTTTAGGGATAAATAGTCATCTTTAAAATAACCTTCACATTTTTAGTCAGGGACTACTGTTCACTTTAAGTTGGGAAGAGTAGCAAATTGCTAACACTCCGCCCACTATAAAATAAAGGCAATAAAAAAAAAAAAAAAAAAAAAAAAAAAAAAAAAATTCATCCTCAAGAGAAAAATAATTGAAGGGGTGGGCCCCCCCCCCCCCTCAGTGCAGCCCATGCGGTTATCTAGACCAAACGGCTAAGGTTTGGGCATAAATCGTCATATTCAAAATAGTTACCCCATTTTTAGTAAGGACCACCCCGTCCCCTTTAAGTGGGAAAAATTGATCCCCTGTAATTGAAGGGTAATGACTCATTACACTTTCGCACCAGCCTCACTTTCTGGAGTGAGACCCGCATTTTTGGTAAGGGACGACTGCCCCCTTTTAAGTAGAAAGAGTTCATCCACGAGGAAAAAATACCATACAATACTTCAAAATTCCTCGCCCCATTTGAAAAGATCGGGCGCCATGTTTCATAATAATTGCTGGCACTAATTCAGCCATTGAATCCCAAATTCGAAAATGCAAGAGCATTTCTCAATTAAGGCAATCATAATATTTCAAAGTCCGAAGGGCATTTTCAAATTTCCCGGCCATCTTTCAGTAATTACTTAATTCAGTTCGCTTTTTGACAGCTTCATCTTCGGATCAAGACAAGCACTTTTTCCAAATAAACGGAGGGTTCAATGTGTTTCGTTTGGTAGCCAATCAAATTTCGACGAAATCAGAATTTTCGTGGTAGGAATTATGAAAAAAAATTTAAAATCGGGCATACCCGAAAACCTATTCAAAGACGTGCTACCCTTCTCTTTGTAACTCACCCATTTTTTTTACATGAGTAACACCCTGTATAGGTACTGTAGCGAACACTCCAGAAATCCCGACAGACGTCGAGGCGCCAAAATTAATCATCGGCAATAAGGGCGAAAGCGGATGTGACGCAATCCTTTCGGGAAAAATGGCGTGTTTATTGTAGAATGTTCCGAATCGTTCTAGAACAATTGTCGTTTACTCTATAAGCAAATTGTAGCTAATTTCAGGCAGTTCCAACATCGATGAGCTTGAGTTATGTTATAAATTGTTGTAAGTGATAAATAAAATTACTGTTATAAATTAATTCATTTTAAGACTGTTATAAATGTATTGTTAGTTAGTTGTATTAAATAAAACACGTACTTAAATTTACGTTAGATTTAGCTTTTATTTCGCCCAACTAATGCTGATCGTTGACGTAGGACGTCAGGCCCGTGGGGGTTGGTATTTCTAGTCAAATAATAAATCCAAGTGTACACGATATACAACGTTCTGTAGGAATGCGAACCCCTAAGGTTTTTATTAGCGCCAAAGTGTGACTATCAAAATATTGTTTACTACCAAAATGTTTGTTTGCGTTAGTATTAAGTTTATCTGTTAAGTGTTTTAGTTTTATTATTCAATTCTGAAAAAAAAACGAAATAGTCGCCCAACTCGACGCAAAGTTCAGGTTTTATCAAGAATGTTTTGAAACCTTCGGTTGTAACCTCTCAGAAGGGCGCTCACCACCTGGTTCACCAAATGCCCATGTCCGATCGGATCGAAGTATCCCCATTCAAAACAGTCGTTCCTCAACCAGTCTGGAGGGACCGACGAGTTCAGCAAGACAAAACAAATAATGTTGTAACATCATTGTTTTGACGTTTCCCAACAACCACCAACGGAGTTTGCTGGAGTAAAGGCACTTTGGCCTTCAGTTGATAAGATAAAGCGGCAATAGAATTTCTTCGGGCGTCGATTGTAACTGGGCCAGTACTTGGTCTTTGGACATGGTGGAGGAATAGGTGGGCCGCGGCCAAGCATACCTGGTGAACAAGGGCAATTTTCGCCATCCAAAAATCACCGTTGACGGACTGACGTCAGACCACTCGAGATAACAGTGATGTAAGTGTTTACAAAAATGATATCTCTTCCGGACATTGGATTTTGGTCCCAATTAAAAATAGCATAATATGCTGTAAAACTTTCATCCAACGCAACTGGTGGCCACATTGGGGTTAAGACACGTATTCAGATTTACTGAAAATAGGATTCGAAGAGTGCCTGGCAAGCGTTTGTCAAGAAAT